ACATCAGTTCTATTTTATTTCGAGGTTGGCTATCAGTTTATGTCATTGATGATGATGCATAAAGAAAAATAACTTTGGATCTCAGTGTGGATGTAGGTCTCTCTCCCCCCAGTCACCCTTCTCTCCTGCTGTCTTTCCTCTCCCCCTCCCCTGCACCCTTGCTCGCCTTCTCTGTGTCTTCATAAGGTGACGGGAGAGAAATGCTGCATCATACTTCACTTTTCCCTTACCTAATCTAAAGGCCTTTTCTTACAATTAGATGTGTTTCTACGGTATTTATAATGTAGTGTGATACTCCTGTGTATGGCTGTTTTACATACTTTAACCATTCTCTATGATTGGATGTTTAGTTGTGCCCTCTGCTTTGCTGTCATAACAGCAGTGTATGCAATGCCTCTGTGTCTACATTTGTGTGTGTAACTCACATTATTTTCATAGGAGAAATTCCTAGAAGTTTCGTCATTGGGTTAAAGAGTATATTGACAATAGAAGAAAGCTCCTCATCGTTCTTGGTAGACTTCCTGTCCTGAGACTGTGTCAATATATATTTTGGGGAGATATGGAGACACACATTAAAATCGCATTTTAACAAATAGCAATATTTTAAATTAGGCATTTATGAATTTTTAATTATATTTTGACTTTTTATTGTGACAATTTTCAAAATATAGAAGCAAGCCTTTTTTTGCGGGGGGGCAGATCGAACTTGGGACCTTGTGCTTGTCAGGTAGGTGGCAGAACCACTGAGACAAATCCCTGGCCCATCAACATAGAAAATAGAATAGTACAGTGACTCCTACCTAACCAGCATATAATTTAAATTAATATTTGTCATATTAGTTTTTATATGTATACAACATTTTACCAAATTATCTCAGTGTGTCAGGTATGTAGCATCATAATTAAATACTTCTGCATGCAGCTTCAGATAATAAGTGGTTTCTTAAACGGTCTTAATACCATTGTGCATTTAATAAAATGAACAGTAACCCACTAATAACAAAATAGTCCATACTCATATTCGTAGTTATATTTTTTTCCATCCTTAGAACTGGAACGCAAAGTCAAGACTGATCCGATGAAGTGAGCTGGTATGCAGAGAGATGTTCTCAGGGGTTTCAAAGAGTCCTGGGGTGTGACTGACTGGCGGAAGAGGGCAGATGGATGAGTCATGTCTGACCTGGCTGATTCGTAGTTCTTGGGCCCTTGCCCTCACCTGCATAGGGTGAACAAGTGGTTCCGTTTCTGAGTTCCTGTCCTTCTATCTTCACTGCATGTGGTGGTGTTTCAGGGTGGTGACAAGTGGTTTTCATCTGAGGATATACAAGGAATCTGAATGGCCTTTGCATTTTGTAAGCATATGTTTAATCATATTAAAACTCCAAAAAGGGCCTGGATTTATTTAGCTTGGTGGTGCTGCCACCTGCCTCGCAAGCACAAGGACCGGAGTTTGATCCCCAGTACCAAAACAGAAAAAAATCCAGAAAAACAAAACAAAACAAAAAACCCCAAGCTTAAAAAATGTGAAAAATGGAAACAAAGTATTTGTAAACAGGGGAGGGTGAACGGGGGGGGGGGGAGAGGAGGGCAGGGGTATGGTGAAAAAAATAAGAACCAAGACATATCACGTAAAGGTACAAGATCCCAATGATAAATATAACTATCGTTTAAGTGTACCAATAAACTTAATGGGGGAAAAACTGCCCCCAAAAATAAGAGAAACAGGCTTCAGGTCACTTCAGGTGTGTCCCAAAGAAGGATTAAGTGACATTCTAAAGGCATAGTATCAGCTGGGCGTGGTGGCGCATGCCTGTAATCACAGCACTAGGGAGGCTGAGGCAGAAGGATCACTGTGAGTTGAGGACCAGCCTGGGCTACATAGTTCCAGATCAGTCTCAACTAAAAGTGAGACCCTGTCTTAAAAAACAAACAAACAAAAACAAAACAACAACAACAAAAAAAACTGTGAATACACATTTTCGGCCTGGGATTTAGCTCAGTGGTTCCGGCGCCTGCTTTGTAAGCTCAGGAACCCCAGTTTGATCCCTGGTACCAAAAAAACAAAAAGCAAATAAATAAAGGCTAGTATCTGGAGGAAATACCCTACCCACCCCACCTTGTGTTCACTGCTGCAAGGAAGCAGAGCTGCCTTATCAGTACCCTGGTCCTGTTCTTTTTATCAATCTAGGGGACAGCCTTTGACTTACTAAATCACAAAACAGACTTGTCCAGCCTGGGTAATAAGCTGGTCTTGCAAACTGAAGAAAACTTTTCTGGGTTCAAATTACAGTATTGTTATATTTCAGAGATGACTGTTTAAAAAAATCACCTTTAAACAAAAGGCCAGTAAAAGCTCTCAGTGCTCCTTTTTAACATAAACCACTAAAGTATAGATGAGGTGCACAAGTCACCATGTACAGTTGCACAGATGTTTCCAGAGAAGGTGCACCCCAGAACCAGCACCCCGGGTGCCTCTCTCTGGTAGTCCTCTAATCAGCACGCATCCTCCCAAGGAAGCCATTGTCTAACTTCTCTCACGAGGCTTCTGCTTTTCCATGTTTTAAAATATAATCGTAAAGTGTGTGTTCTTCTGCTAGCCCGCCCACCCCTGCTTCTGAACTGTAGGTTGAACCAGAACCTTGCACGCGCTAGGTGCGTGCTCCGACACTGAGTCACACTCCGGCCCCATCTGGTTTCTTTTCTTCTCTCTTTTATGAGGTGAAGTTTAAATTAAAAAGAAAACGATGACAGTATGACACACAGTGCCATCAGTCCTCTCCACAGTATCCCCCAATCGAGCTCGGAACACACATCCTATCAGTCTTGCCACATTCGGAATCAGTTTGGGAAGTCCACTTAGTGAATGTCTTTAGCTGTGCTATTGTGGCTGCCTCCGTGTTCTGAATTGATTCAAAATGTTGCACAGTATTTCATGGTTGTTTGATTTGGGGGAAGAGCCAGAAGTCGCGTGGCTCCAGATCCAGTGAGTCAGATAGATGAAGACTCACTGTAATATTGACACACCAGCCTGCCGTTCTGTCGGATGGCATTTGGCGGCGGCTTTCACCATGTTTTTGATCACACCTGGTAAAGACACTTATGAAAGAGGACTTCAGAACTGCTTCAGAAAATGGCAAGGATGAGATGTATTTGAGTGAGGGGTAGTATTTTGAAGGGAATTACTAGCTGTGGACATTCACAGGATATTTCAGTCATGCCTGGTCCATATACGGTTCATGTCTGTTGTGTATAGTTGGAGTTAGTTTATTCTTGTTGCTGTTTTTCCTTCATATGTGACTGCGGCAATCCAATTATATGTATCCTGTGACTGCTTGACATTTAACTTATTTTTAGTATTTTTGCTATTATAAATGATGTTTCAGTAGACACTTTAGCATATTTTTGGTGTCATAGGCACACAAATTTCTATTGGAGATTTACACGATTGAAATTAACAGGTCTGTGGTTTTGTGTTCTCTTCAGTTATAGTAGATACTATCTAGCAATTTTCCAAAATGGTTTACCATTTTATTCTTGTCACACCAGTGTTTGAGAATATTTGCTCTCCATTTTGCCAACATTTGTCATTCTTCATTCGTTCATGGGTGAGTGGTGATAATTCTGTTAAAATTTTATCTTGCATTTTCAGTGACTTTTATAGAGGGCAACAACTTGACAGCGATTCTAATGGTCATTTGGGGGTCATCAGAGTGATCATCAGGCATAGAAAACTTACAAGCATATATTACTATAGCAATTTTTAACCTTTCATTCACTTGAAAAATACTTACTGAACATGTTTCACTATTTGTCATATACTAGCCTGGGAATTTGAGGGTATAGGAGTGAAAGAGGCAGGAAAAAGTCCTTTCCTGACTGAGCTGTTTCTCTGGTTGTAGCAAGTTAGACACGTCATCTTGCAGGCTTGGATGCATCAATTGAAAGGGTAGTCTTGCAGCATTTCCAAGGGACTATAGGTATCAGTCCATCCTGGCATTCTCCTGTGGAGTTGAAACAATTACAGAATTCTGTTGGCCCTAGGAAGCCATGGCTGGCTCACTTGCACTGTTCCTGGGGGTGGAGCTTTTTTGGTCTAGGCTTTTCCTGGTGCACATGTGATGATTTGGTATGTGTAAAACATATGTCCTAAAGGTTAGGGAAGGAAAAAATGATTTGGTTTGTGATCCTCAAACAACCAGTGGATCATGAGAAAAACTCAAGTTGGAAATTCCTTACCTCGGACCACATACAGAAATAAAAAATTGATAACATTAAATAAAACTTAACAGTAAAAGATCAACCTGCTTTAAATAGTTGAGGAACTAGGTATCATTGTTTGACAGTGGGATGGAGAAAGACTGTTTTTTAAGCTAAGAAAAGGAATGGAAGAAATTGCAAAGGTAAGAAAATGTACAGGTTCAAGTATATAAAAATATCAATCTGGAAGAATATTTGCAACAAATATGATAGACAGAAGGCAGGGGGTGGCGGGGAGGACACGTTCAGACATTGCTGGTGGGAGTGTAAGTCGACAGTCTTGTCTGTAGGACAGTGTGATACGAAGTACCCGGAGCCTTAAAGTTCTCTCCTGTGACTCGACAGTTTATTCTTTAAGCATCTAGCCTTCAGAAACTACAGGCGTTGGGCAGATATTATACATAAAGATGGCTATCTTTGGTTCATGAAAAGAAAATATAAAAAACTGAATTAATCCCAATGTCTACTGCTAGGAAAAAAGTTAAATTGTATTTTAAAATAAATTAATCACTGTTATAAGGAAACATAACTATAACTGTTAAATCATAGAATTGTTGTAATTAGAATTGACATATCCTTTATATTTCAAGCTTGTTTTGCCTCAGAAAAATCAAAATATATTCTTCTTTTACATGTCTCAAAAGCTGAATTAAATGCTAACTAAAGAATGATAGGTTGACTGGGCTTTTTGTGTACTATTGTAAAAGAAAAAAAAAAGTTAATTGAAAACAAGCAATAAAATACTAGCACTTTCACAGGTCCTCCCCTAGGCAGTGGGGCCAGGATTTGGTAGCTGGTGCTGAAAGAAATCCTTGACTGCATCCTTGCCCTGGTGCTGTACCAGTGGTAGCTGTCCATTGGGACACAGGAATAGAAACAAACAATACTACTAATACAGAACATTTATGAAGTGCTGATTATATGTGGTGTATTGTGGTTAGTGTATTAAATGGTGATGTCATTTATTTCAGTGACACCTAATGAAGCCAGTAATACATCATTGTACCCATTTTGCAGATGAAGAATCTGAGCCCTACAAGCTTTAGTTACTTACACAAGTAACCCATTCCCTTGGTAGGAGGCACAGCCTGGGCCCAAGAGACCCCAAAGCTCATTACTTAGTCTGCATTGGGGTTGAAATGTAGAAATGACAAGTGGCTTTTAAAACAATTTTGTTTCCTAATTTCTCTCTCAGTGAGTCTGTTATTTGTGTACAAGAAGGCTATTGATTTTTGGGTGTTAACCTTGTATCCAGCTGCTCTGCTAAAAGTATCAATTAAGTATAGAAGTCTTTTGGTGGAGTTTTTTGGGTCTTCAATGAAGAGTATCATATCATCAGCAAATAGTGACAGTTTAACTTCTTACTTTCCTATCTTTATTGCTTTAATTTCTTTCTCTTGCCTAATTGCTGTGGCTAATGTTTCCAGCAACCACTATGGAAATCAATATGGAGATACCTCAAAGAGCTGGGACTAGAGGTTCCATTTGACCCAGCCATCCCTCTGCTGGGTATCTTTCCAAAAGAATTAAAAGAATCATACCACAGTGATATGTGCGCTCCCATGTTTATACTGACACAGTTTGTAATGGCTAAAACTTGGAAACAGACCATTTGCCCATCAGTTGGAAACTGGATAAAGAAGATGTGGTTTTTCTATAAAATGGAATATAAAAAAACCATTAAGAATGAGAAATTAGATTCATTCATAGGAAAATGGATAAATTTTGAGGATATACTCCTAAGTGAAACAAATAAGTCACACATGTGTAAATACCGAATAGTTTCTCTGGTGTGAATAAACTATAATAGTACATAAGATCCTAATGATATAAATGACAATGTGAAACAGGAACAAAAGGGCTAAAGGTGTAGGGAAAGTGGAAAGGGTAGGGGAAAGCTAATAAGGGAAAAGAAAAGAATATGAGAAAATGAAAAAATGGAAATGAAGTGTTTGTAAAGGGGGAGGGGAGGAGTGGTGAAGGGAGGGCAGGGACAAGGGGAAAAATGAGAATCAAGACCTGTCATGTAAAGGCACAAGATCCCAGTAATGAATGTAACTGTACTGTAGACCTAAAATGTACCAATAAACTAATAAATAAATAAATAAATAAATAAAACAATTGCGATCAGATTTGACTCTGGGGTAACGGAGGAGGGGGCATTGCTTGCTGTCCTTACACTTCACTTTGCTGTGCACCCCTGAAATTGACCCTACCAGCCCTGTTCTCATTTCTTCTCTGTCCTCCTGAACCTCATTGTTTTACCTGAGATTCTGTCCTCTGAACGATGCCACATGATCCTGTTCTGTTTCCCAGCATTTCCCACAGCCCTTGGAGCCTGCATGCTCCTGAGTCCTGAAGGGAAAGCTGTGAGGACACTGAAGAAGGGTCCTATACCACGCCTAATTTTCTGTGTGACTCTAGAGTGGAGCGTACATAAACTTGGGCAGCGGTTATACCTGCTTCCAGAAAAATTCCACAGGATGCCATGATGCTCACTCAGTTTGTTTTCCAGTTTAGTTTGTTGTCCTTTTGGCAGCTTGGGTATCTCTGGGGCTTCTATTAAAAGTAAAAAGCTAGGCAAATTAAAATTTCAGTTTGTTACTTGAGCATTCATGAAGTGAAGCAGCACACTGCAAGTGGTTCAGGCCCTCATCAAGGAGCCAGAGGGGAGACATTTAGTGTGTTTAGGGAACCAAGACAAAGAAAATATATTTGATTGGTTAAAGTAGAAAGTCCCTAGTTGAGGTCCATTTGGTGGTTTCAGTTTGGTTAAGCTTAAGGTTTGTTTCACTGTTGACAATGAGTCGGACTTGACTTTGCCTGCATAGTTACAGAGGAACCCAACAGGCTGGGTCTAGTGCCTCCCAACTAGTTGTTTTAATACTTCGTGTTGTACTCCCCCCCACAAAAAGATATTTGTGTTTTTAAATTTATATAAACCAGAGTTTGTGAGCTGCATACCTGTTGTAGAGGATCATCCACACAGCATGACAGGATGTTAAGCAGCATCCCTGCTTCTACCTATGGTAGGTACCAGTAGTCTCCCTTTTCCCCAAGTTAGGACAGTCAAAATTGTCATCTGACATTTCCAAGCAGGCTATGTTGAGGACCACTGGTATTAAGCATAAAGTTTGACAAATGTAATTAGTTTTTGTTTTTTCTTTGAAGTGATAGGAGACAGCTGCTATTGTGAAGAGTGAAATAAAATATTTGATATCTTACCCTTTGCATATTTTAAACTTTTTCACGTATTGATTCTGTGATTCTATACTTTGTAGAATCAAATATATAAAGTAACATTTCTCTTCTTTTCCTTTCTTTAAACAGTATGCAAGCATTGAAAAGAATGGTGAATTTTTTATGTCTCCCACTGACTTTGTCACTCGGTATTTGAATATTTTTGGAGAAAGCCAGCCTAATCCAAAGACTGTGGAACTGTTGAGTGGTGTGGTGGATCAGACCAAAGATGGGTATGTTTAATCCCGTTTTACATTTTTTTTTTTTTGTTCAAAACAGCTTTCTTTTGCTTTGATGATTAGGAAGTCACTGAATATTTAATTTCCATGACTTAGGAGCATTTCCTCTACCTACTAATATTAACACATTATTAACCCAACATTTCCTTCAGTGATCTTTGAAAAGTTGACTTTTTGGGCTAGTTTAGAGGTCTCTGCAGTTTCAGAAAACTATTATAACTGATGAGATGGTGTGGAGATATAAAATAATTTTTAAGTATGCTGATATTTTTCAAGGCAGTTGTAAAATTGAAGTAAATTTACACAATTTACACATGAATGAAACTTTTATATAATCTTTCCCTTTGCTTCAATCACCATTAAAATGCGACACATGATTAAATGATATGGATCTACAAACAAAATAATATGATTCCAAATCACCAAGAAAGGAATTTTTTCAATAGCTACAAGAGAGAGATTATGAAGACAATAAAATAAGACACTTTGAAAAATGCCTTTGGATTGTTTTTCCTACCATTTTTCTCTGCCTACTCCCTGGGATTTGTAAATGTTTCCTTATTTGGAAGAAGGGTCTTTGCAAATATGATTAAGAATTTTGAAATGAAGAGATTACCCTTGATTATCTGAGTGAGCCTTAGATTCCATCACAAGTTTCTATATGATCAAGGTAGAAGGAGATTTGACACAGACATAGGGAAGAGGAAGCAGTGTAACCCCTGAAGCAGAGAGTGGAGTGATGAGACCACAAGCCAAGGGATGACTGGAACTACTAGAAGTTAGAAAGAACAACGAAGGATTTCCTTTAGAGCCTTTTGAAAGAGTCTCTGACCTTGCTGACACATTGATTTTGGATTTCTGTTTCCCCAAACTGGGTTAGGGTAATTCCTGCCATGGTAAAACATCCAGTTTATGGTAATTTGCTCTATTTTTAATTGACAAAATTATATGTATGAATGATGTACAGTATATTTTGAAATATTTATGCATTGTAGAGTAGATAAATCAAGCTAACATATCTATTCATATACTTATTTTTTGTTGTGGTGAGAGCATATAAAATCTTGCTTAGCAGTTTTCAAGTATAAAATACTTTGTTATAGTCCAGGTGTTGCCCCCCCCATTTCTTAAACTTGTTCTTCCTATCTAAAATTTTGTGTTCTTTGACCTCAGTCCCTCCTCCCCTGTGCAAGCCCCTGATAATCACATTCTACTCTCTGCTTCTGTGAGTTGGACTCTTAGACTCTTCACGGAAGTGAGAGCATGTGGTATTTGTCTTTCCTTGCTTGGTTTATTTCACTGAACATAATGTCCTTTAGGTTCTGTCCATGTCACGAGTGATAGAATTTCCTTCTTTATTTAAGGCTGAATAGCAATTCTTTGTGTATATGCACCACAGTTTTTAATCCATTCATATGTTGGTGGACACTTGGGTTGGTTCCATATTTTGACTACTGTGCATAATGTAGCAGTGCACGTGCAATGCAGGTATCTCTTTGACAAACTGGCTTTATTTTCTTGTTATAACTTATAGCAGTTTTAGGAAACTAGTCCTAAAGCTATTTTCCCTGGGGAACTAGAAAGCTTATAGTTTTGAAGAATTTTCTTCAGTCAAAGACCAGTTTGATTAAGAAATAAACTCACTACTTGTACCTTTGGCTGATCTAGACATTTCTGGGGCAGTGCCCCTGCTCCAAGTGGTCTCTGTGGGAATTCAGCCCCTTCCTGAAAACTACCTTTGTGTTGGTTTGGGCTGAACTTTGGCCTGGAAAGTGAGATGTCTGTGTACTGCATGAACTTAAGGTCTCAGCATTTCAGTTAAAATGGGAATGAATCTTTGTATATTATCTATGTGTACTTTTTTATACATTGTTCACATAATTTATCTATTAAGAGCAAGGTGACAGAACATTTTTGTTTGGGGCCCTTTGAGTTTGGCAAACATATTTCTACATGTTTTTGTTATTAACTGTTGTCTCATCAGAGAGTGCTGAGGCCAAAAACTTTTCACTGGTACCTGACCTTTTCACTTGGTGAGACAAAGTGGAGTTTAGCATTAGCTGGAGGCATTGAGTGCCGGAAAGGCTGGCTACCTGTTGCAGGTACTGACCCTTACTTGTGTCGGGGCACTGGGTGACTGGAATATCTAATTGGTTTGCTAGAATCACATATAAATTTACCACACAGATTGTGCTTCAGTATCCATGGAACACTGCTTCCTGAACCCTCCACAGGATGCTGCTGATACCAAAATCTGCCAATACTTGAGTCCTCCCTAGGAAATATTGGAGTATTTGCATAAAACCTACATACATTTCCACTGTATTTTAAATTACCTCTAGATTACTTAACAAGACCTAAAGCAGTGTAAATGCTATGTGTAAATAGT